ATGAGCTGTGCGCTTTACCCATACTCCGATGTCTGGGCAGTTTTGAAAATGAACTGGAAATTTTTGATTTAGCCACCGCCCATTTCGTTGCAACGCAGTTCGAAAGCCTTCACCTTTTGCACGACCAGCAGATATTGAAGTGTGGCTGTCGTATGAAATATTGTTATTATTAATAAATAATTGTAATAGTTCCTCTTCTCCTCCCACTCGACGGCTTTGTAAGGTGAAATGAGTTGGGCCGTGTCAGTTGGACTCAGAATCAGATACTATAGAAACAGCTATGATGGTGAGGGTGGTGACGAATATGGAAAAATGGTCGTATTAGGGTGACCCCCTAAGACTGATGGTGGTGGTAGGGGTCGTATCGCAGTCCCTGTAGAGAGGGTTGTCAAATTTCCCGTATTAGAACAACGGACGGCTGACGTTTATTCGCTCTCCTTTTCTATTTGTCTTCATTGATTGCACCCTGTCTCAACGTACCACCAAAACCTTCACTTTTGCTTAGTCCAAGGGGCAGTTACTACTTCGTCGCTACGTGGCAGTTTCGAAATACGCGCCATCGGCGGACTAAGCCTTGGAGGAGCAGACGAACAGAGCGCCGCGCCGCCGCGTGGTCCCCCCAACTAAGTTAGCACTCAGTGTGCTTCCGAAGTGTTCGGTGTAGTCATGAGGAAACCATGATATCAAAAAAAAACACTGTAAAATGTTTCAAATGTTATTTCAGGCGCCAAGCCCTGGTGAACTGCGACGGCAGAATATGATCCTGTCACTTGACTTACTCTCCGTGGTCCTGGTATCGATTCCAAATCTAGCGCTGATTCTGAACCAGTGGAAAGTTCCAGCAATGAATCCATTATTAGTTGGTGAGCGTATTTTAATTATTATCGCGTGAATGAGTGAAGAGAGAAAAAACTTGCCGAAAATTGAGCGGCCTTTTCCTTTTTGCGCTTTTAGCGGTGGCAATTTGTGGTTTAAAACAACACCCTCAGATCGAATTTTTGGAGTCACAGTGGTTGATAGTGAAGATTGTGGATGCCGAATTGACTAAAAATGAAAAAAAGAAGCAAGGAAAACCGTTGATGAAGCCCAAAACGAAAGTTCCTCATGAAAAAAGGAAGGGGCGGGGCCAGACGAGTTGTACGAACTTGCCTGCTCCACGGCTCAACTAACCCGCGCGTATTTGAATTAGCCATATCCCACGTTGCGTGTCATGGGGTGTGCGCTACGTAACTCGTCCAAATGCTAAGATTAGTCGCCAAATGCTGACTTTGTAAGACCCTAGCGCCATTGTCGCGCACTTTCGAGCCGCGACAACGGCACATCTGTGCTACTTGTGGGCTACTCTATCCCACCCACTGAATAGATTCTTCGACACAACTTCTGCTAGGGTGTTACTCCAAGTTCCGATCCCGCGGATCATGAAAACCTTAAAACCGGGGGCAACGATAAGATTGGACTGGGTTCATAGTGGAAGTGGAGATGCTGAATAATGCCCCAGTGGCGAAAAAAGCAAAGAAATCCGTCGCGCAAAATGGGACCCCTTTCTTTGCCCGTTGACCTCCGATAATGGACGAGCTAGCAACCAATAAGAGGTCTTTTGCACATGTTAAACCGATAGCCACCATCATACCAGCAAAGGCCATGCTTTGATTGGTAACGCGTTCCATGGGAAAGTTATAGGATACGCACTCAAAGCGGAATACCTCATCAAAATGATAATCGAAGGGCGCTGCTGCTGGGGCGGAGCTCAGAAAGGAATGGCAAGCCCAGTACGCTGCAGCTAGCGCACCTTTGGCCACAAAAACGCCACATTTCTGCTCCTTCGGCCCATGATGTTGCTTTCACTCGCGCTGTGTACAGGGTGGCGAAAAATTACGTGCGCCATAAAACACGTTCAAACTTGATTTTTTGTCCACAAAATTCGAAAGTTATTGATTTTATAAAACAACAAACAATGACATTTTATAACTGCAAAAAAGATTTGGAGTAGCTGCCAGCAATTATGATACAGGCCTCAATTTGTTTCTTCACCAGTCAATGGTGCTGCGGAGGTCAGCGCATATTTCATTCCAAATTTTAGGCAGTTCTTTTCAGAATCACCAACTTTTTGCATTTCGATTCCTTAGTGTTCTTCAATAAAACCCCAAACAGAGAAGTCTAACGGATCTGAATTCGGACTGTGAGCAGACCATGAACCCATCGCCACAAAACAGCCGATACTGGTCTCGAAGAAGTGGGTCGGTGTATTGGTCCATGGGCCCGAGCGCGTTCCTGTAAAAAGACAGAAATGTTATGATTCTGCTTCTAGGGGTAACAGTTTTCCAGGGATCCCTTCTTGGTAGACATTCCCATTGATTTCCGCGCTTTTATCAATAAAAACCTGTACAGGCAGTGATCCAGCCTCAGTCCATCAAATTTTCAGGTAACGAGATTTTTCTGGGTACTTTCCAATTAAGATGTTGCTGAATAAAAGATTAAAGGTGATTGTGAGAGTGGTAAGGCACTTAAACGGTAAATTTTTATTTGTGAAAGCCACAAGGCGTCCTAGGACCGCCGCACCTCAGAAAAATCCCGCAACTTCTTATATTTTTCCTTCCGATCTTGCTTTGCTTGGAGGGTGGGAAACTGCCCGTTTGATATACGATATAGTCCATTCCGCACTTATTTTTGCTGTCATCTGAACCAATTCTTCGGAAGGCTTGGTTCTGTTCGGCCCTCTTATTCAAGCTCAGGTCATCTTTTTGGTCATTCCTCTTTTTAATAATTTTTCTCACACATCGGGTGTTGGTAATCCGTTCTCATTCCCTTACGGTTTAGGTAAGAGTTAGACGGTTCGTAGAAAAACTGTGAGCCTCGAAGAAATCATTTAGCTCTCAGTCCAGCTGTCTGCTTTCCGCGCAATCGCACTCCAACTTGAATAGGTCTTTGTCAGAAACTTGGAAAACAAATTTCTTTTTTTGCAAACCAATAATTAGCTATTAACAAAGGTTGAAAAGAAAAAGCACACATAAATTCCTCCTACAATGTTTGAAACGAAGCGGAATGTCACGCGCACGTAATTTTTCGCCACCCTGTATATATGGTGTATAAAGAGGTGAAAGCCGCTTCAATGCGCAAATCAACGGGCAAGGAAGGGGGTCCTATTTCTCGGGTTCCGAACCGTTTTGAATAGCTTCTTCATCA